CAGAACTGGAGTATTACTCACATGGTCTGTGTGCACACATTTGCCATCTCTGTATGTTGACAAGCAAAGCTCCCTAACTCACAATTCAGACTAATGAGTTTTTCCACTTGCAATCATTAAGACTATACACATACACACAAACACATTCAGTATTCATATCTTTATAATAGTCTTCCTTTACTATATTTTCAACTCCTTGACTAAATTTTATGTAAAATCCAGTTTGTCTAGGGTACATTAGGAAGATATTCACAAATATGTTTAACATTATATTTACACAAATCTAAACACACTTTGGATCCCATATATCTCACAAATCTTCCATATTCTTTCTATTGGGTATCTACTCAATCTCAGTGACAGTAATATTGCCACTTTCTATTCAAATTGTATATATTTTTTAAAAAAACTTCCTTCTTTCCAATATCATCTCCCATTAAGGACAAAAATTTGTACCAATGCTATCATTATTTTCCTAACAACATAGAAAAATCTTTCAAAATATATCTTTATAACAAGCTCATTTGTCTCTCTCTACTTGTCTGTCTGAAATGCTCTCACCTGCTTTACTCCTTGCCTATACGACACTTCCCCCTAGATATCCCAGTTATATTACCTCCTATGCTTTCTGGAAATTTCCACCAATACCACCTTTCTTTTGCCACCAGTTCTACCAGACTCCTATAGTATTCACTGCCTTTCCTTTATATTACCTCCTACCACTATTTATCTTTTATCTATGGGATCTAGCCCCCAATTAAACATGCCATCACTGTAACAAACACTTATTGAGACAGTCATTGCACTTAGTACAGGAGACACAAAATGAATCAGATGAGGTCTTTTGCCCTCATAGAGTTTAGAATGGAGGAGACAGGTATGAAAATGAAAAGTATAACGTCATTGTTTATGTGCTATAAAAGGTAGTCTACACAAGATGAAGTATACAAAAAGGAAATGATCATAAAAGTATTCCAAAGGGAGGTGTGTTTGAATTTTGAATGATGAGTAGATGGTGTCACACAGAGGTTCCAGGTGAAAAAGAATGTTTTGGAGAACCACAGATAGAGTTTCTCAAAGGCAATCTGTGCTTGAGCCTCAGTGCCCAGACAAGAGCCCAGGGATGCATTCTTTGTACCGTTGTTAGCAGTGATGGAATTCAGCAAGCCATTGCAAATACACCTTTTAAAAGAAACCTGTCAATTCTCTATAATAGGGATCATGAAACATTCATAATCCTTTAAACCAGCTGATATGCATGACTCTGTATATTCAATGAAAATAATCAATCCTAAATCAAATTTAAATACTGCCTCTTCTAGAGTTACGATTGTATTTCCTTGACTTTGTAGCATAAGGTTCAATTCCTCTGAATAATAAGTAATTTCAATGAGGTAGTAAAATTTCATCATCTGATCTCAGACTAAAATTTTGATGTGTTTGATATCCTTCATGTCCAAAAAATGATAATCTCATTTATCTAGCCGTCAAAGTAAGACCTAACTCTGTCCCTGATAGCCATAATCATTATTAATACGGCTATACATTAATTAGCAGACTGGAATATTTTCAGTGTGCCTCCTCAGGCACCGTCTCAGTACAATAATGATGAAAGTACTGGGCAAAACTCCAGCTGGCAGTTAAATGGCCAACCCCATTACACCTCCAAATTCTGCTCCAAACAATTGCACTTTCTGATATTTAAGTAGAAACAGTTCCACCATGAATGGCTAGGCCACTTTAGGAAGAATAAGATATCATCTCTGTTTTCCAACCAATGACATATACCTTCTTTCTAATAAAATACAAAAACCCAAATTATCAAATGTTTGCTTTCTTTATATACAAAGTCAATTAAAATGTGAAGCCTATCCTTACTCTATGCTTGGTTTTTCACTGATAATTCTAAAAGTATTTGCACAGTAATGATGCTAATAAACTGCCTCCAAATGAATGTCATTTAATTGTCCCTTCTAAAAGAAATACTAAAAGCACTGTCCATTTGATGGGCTATTTTTATATCAATGCCAAAGATTCTTTCCACTGTTAAATTTTTTTTAACAGTGAAAATTCTGCCTTGATGAAGTTTGTATTAATTATCCATTTTATGTAGAGGAATTGGCAGAATTCTCAATTTAAATTAATGTATTTTCCTGACTGATACCTAATAGATTCCTCTGTTCAAGCTCATTTTTTCACAATGGCTCTCATGAGGCACTGTGTCATCCTCCAGGTATTTTATGGCAAATGATACAAGTTTTCTCATGAAGCCCCAAGCAATAACTGTGTTGGGGAATAGTTTTAAGTCTCAACTCTGAGTATTCTTGGTTTGAGAACAGTCTCTCACTGCTACCAACAAAATAAGCAAGCTTGTCCCAACTGAAAATATGGCCTTGCTTATTCTACTTCTTCTTCTACCACTTAGCTTACGATTTATTGACTAATCAGAAAAAATATGAGTCAAATACAAATGAACAGAAATAGTAAATATATATTAGTTTGACTAATTATATTTTTCTTTTCTTTTTTTTTTTTTTTTTTTGAGTTGGAGTCTCACTCTGTCGCCCAGACTGGAGTACAGTGGCCGCTCCCGGCCACTGCAGCCTCGACTTGCTGGGCTCCAATGACCCTTCTGCCTCAACCTTCCAAGTAGCCACAACTACAGGCGCACGCTACCATGCCCAGCTAATTTTTTTGATTTATTATAGAGATGAGATCTCACCAAGTAGCCCAGGCAGGTCTTGAACCCATGGGCTCAGGCAATTCACTCACCTCGGCCTCCCAAAGCGCGTGATTTCAGGCTGAGTCAGGGAGCCCGGCCTAATTATACTTTTCATACATAAATAATTACTTGTGTTTAATGTAAAAAGAGAGATTAACAGATACCGAAAAGTCCACATCTCTGGTCTAAGTGTATCAACAAAATCTGGTTCCAATATCTTTTTTTTTTTTTTTTTTAGCAGCTACTCGTATACCCTTCACCAAAGAATGGTCCTGTGGTTCCAGTATCTTATGGATATTTATTTTTTTAACATCTCTATCTCACTTTCTTGAATACTCTATCTCTTACTCCCAAATCGATGTAAATTCTCACTGATCATCCCTTCAGTGGCTGGTTTTCCACAAAGCCTCTGGCTTACATGTAAGAAAAATGCTTGCAATTTCATTTAATACAGTATTAGAACACTTACACTAAGCCTGGGCAATAAACCATTCAAAGATTCATGCCTGGCATCTTTTAACCAATTTTTTTGTAATCACACATGTATAAACATAAATGTCCCTAATGTAGGTCCCTCTGAATTATCCAATCTCTAAATACTCTGTGATGTGGGGGTAGGGAGTGTTTCTGCTTTGGGATATTTGAATTTCTGTTCATCATACTTTCTAGCTATGATTTCTCTGATTAATCAGAGAGAAGACCAAACTCTGGCTTTCTCTTCAAACAGTATCATGCTTGCTTGGCACAGAATTTGACCTCTACAGAGCCTATCCCTTCAAAGTCTCATGACACCAGGAAGGCAAAAGCCTACCAAAAGTGCTGAATTCAGTAAGCAAATTCACAGATTTGTCCTTCATTTGCATTGGTATTCTAACTACAAATACAAATTCTATATCTCCACTCTTGACTTCTAGCTCATAAGATAATTATCAGAATTTTCTGTTATTACTGGAATCTGAAAATCTGAATTCGAACTTTGAGTATACTGCATTGCAGATTATATGGTCTAAAACCACTTTATGCTGTTCCAGAACCTGGAGGAAAAGAAGTACCTCCTTATTTATGATTTCTATCTTACAAGTTTCTTAATAATATAGATCCTAGCATTATTTTGGTTATATATAAATATATTCTCAAGAAACCAGGTAAAAATATAGATGCAGGCATAGACACAGATGTATAGTATAGTGATATTAATAAGAAGTGGGTTTAAGAGATAGATTGAGAGAACAAAAGAGACAGGACAACAGGGGCTACACAGCATAAGTCAAAATTCTAAACTTTCTCAGTTTTAAGTGACATAACAAAATGTTAGGAAATATTTAACAGTTTGTCATTATTTCATCTTCTCTTTCAAAGACTGTTTTCTTCCCCAATCTTGACTCCATCTTAAATTACTATACAGCCCCATTCACTGATCCAGTAGGTAAACCCAGCACCTTCCTACCGAATTCAATCACCATCCTACTCTTTTCTTTCAACTTAAACTACTCACAGCCCCTCTACTGTCTTAAGAGGTCTGTTGTTTCTTTAATGCACATAGGGAGAACTTTTTTTGTTTTGCTACCATATTTTAATAGCTCTGGTTATATAGGGTTAAACTTTAATAACTAGTATTTTGAGCCGGGCTCGGTGGCTCAGCCTGTAATCCCGTGCCTTTGGGAGGCTGAGGTGAGTGGATTGCCTGAGCCCGCAGGTTCGAGACCCGCCTGGGCAGCAAGACCTCATCTCTACAATAAATCAAAAAATCAGTCGGGCGTGGTAGTGCATGCCTGTAATTCCGGCTACTTGGAAGGCTGAGATGGAAGGATCGTCAGAGCCCAGCAGGTCGAGGCTGCGGTGGCCGGGAGCAGTCACTGCACTCCAGTCTGGGCGACAGAGTGAGACTCCAGCTCAAAAAATAAATAAATAAATAAATAATGAGTGTTTTGGGAAGCTAGGAATATCCTAATGACTTTAGTAATAGAGTCTCTCTTTATCACTACTTAGAAGTTCACTCACTTCTAATTCATCAATCTTAAAGATAAATAGTTCAGAGATCTGGAATACACATCTGGCCCCATCTTTTACTGTCTATGAGATCCAAAACAACTAGATTTCAAGGTTCCATGTGTAAAAGTTTACATCTTGCCCAGCTTGCCTAGAGTCACCATCAAGATTAAAACATAACAACACTAAAGCACACTAAACACTCAAGTGATTGCAAACAAAAGGGAACATGCAAAACACCTGCTGGAAACTTCCTCCCTGGGAGATGGAAATGGGACGTTGTCCTCACCTCTGGATTCATGGAATTCCAGTGTGACGTGAGCATCAAATCCAAGGCTGAAATAATTATTGAACACATTCAGAGGGAGCTGCAACAATAAATAGAAAGAGCGGTAAAGTAGCGTGTGGCAAGGCAGAAAGAGAAAAAAGAAAGCTAAAGTCAGACACCTATCCTAGGTCAGTCTCCAGGAGACAGAGTCATCACGACTCAAAAGAGAGGGTATTTACGTAACAGGAACAGGTGCTTCTCGAATGAATTTATTAGTGAAAGCTTAAATCAAGTGATAATCTCAAGAACTATAGGTAGTTCAGGGAAAATAGCTACAAATATAAATGATTAAATAAAAACCATTCGTGTGGATGCTATAATAATAAAAATTTGTAAGCTGGGGGATGCATGCTTGCCGTAGTTACAAAGAATAATGATTCACTAAGCAAACTCGGCAGGTAAACTCAATCATAAGGATCATGTCTTAACCAGTAGATATACATTTTGCAAAAATTTATACTCAGCATATGAATATTAAAACCTAGAATCAATGCTTAATTTGTTTACCCAGTAGCCATTTTCAACATACTTTTTTTGTTTTTTTTTTTACATAAGTTATATTTTTAAAAAATAGAGCAGTTTGAACCATGTAGCTATTGTTGGCCTAGAGGGCAAAACAATAAAAGTACATATCAGAATTATTCAAAGTCCCATTTAGTTTTAACAAATCTTGTATCTTTAACATGACCATGAAATCTGCCAACACAGCCACACAGATACACATGGAAGCTGAGGCCTTTGGGTCTCTGGCTTTACCGCTACAAGCTGAGGAAAGGAGAGAATCCTGCAGCCTAAAATCCTTATTGAAACTGCAAAGCTAATGTGCCTTTAAAGCTGAGGTTCAACGACAGGGCAATTAGGAAAGCATGTGGTAAATGCTAGCCGGCAAAGGCTGCTTCTCTCACTTTTCCTTCTGCAACTCAGAAGATAAACATTAAAGTAAATAGAGGGGATGTTTCCAGATGACTATCAGGTCTATGCTCCTAATTGAACTGCACCTGTCTTCTGTGAGAAACAAGTGATTCAACCCTCAAGATCTCAAAAGTTAGTTTATTATAGTCTTTCACATGCCCCTTGATCAGCAAGATTTTCTGTTTCACTAGGAAGACAACTTTGTCCTATTAAGACAAAAAATGGTATGAGAGAGAGAGAGAGATTTAATGCCAGAAGAAAGAAACTGTATTGCCTTGGTGTCTAATGGAAGTAAGGAATAATCCGACATGGAAACCCTCAAGTCAGAGTCTATAATGACTCAAAATCCAAATCAACTCTTAGAAATGGTTAAAACTAACTGGAGAACAGGGAGAGAAACTAAACACATAGAACAATGCCAAAATCCTGTCTCGCTCTTCTGGTTTTGTATTTGAGAATATCCAGTTCCTGCACTTAAACAAGATACCAGTGGTTAGTAATGACAGCATAGGCTGTTGATGCTGCCAGAGCACAGACATGTTTATCTCCCCTACCAATTATGTTCTTTTGGCTACAATTCTAACCCATGTCTTAGCATCCCCTGAAAGCTCGGAGAACATCTGGTCACCATCCTCTAAATAATACCCCAATTTAGTCAGTTTTTAAGGTATTCAGATTTTTCAGTAAAACTTGCCCCAGTTTCCTACACATCATCTAAAAAACCCATTTGTACAAGCCATTTAATTATCTGGATTGATGTTCCTTAGCTGCACCAAGAAGTCTGTCCTTTTCTTAAGCGACTGGGAAGAGAATTCAATATGGGTTCCATTGCAGGCTTAACCATTCCAAGTTTAGTAGGAAAAAGACCTTAAAATATTCACATGGTACCCCAATTTCTGTAAGTTAGATATATTAGAAAAAATGCATCAAATTCCAAGATGATACTTGTTTAAACAATATTGTGACATTATAAACTCAAGTTCAGCTGAGCTATCATGACATCTACTAGAAACCATATTAATTTCAGGATCACAGTGTAAGGTAAAAAAACCCATAAAGATGGAGCAAAACTTAAAGTTAACTTAACTTTAGCCAAATAAGGAATTGAGCATGTATCATAATTGGTCAGGACCATGGTGCTAATAAATGGGTGTTAGTTTGATCTAAAATGATATGGGGCTTGATCTATCATTAAGCCTAAAATATCCATGGAATTTTAGCCTCAATCAATGGTACAGTCTACCACAACAGGGATATTGTTCAAAGTACAAACTTGGGTTTAACCCTGCATTTACCCAATCAGAATCTCTGCATTTCAACAAACATAACTGGAAATTCTCACACATAACAAAGTTTGAAAATACTATCCTAGAAGAAGAGTGGAAGAGTATGGAGGAAGTGGCTGCTCAGCAAACTACCAAATTTATCTGAAATTGAGACCAGAATTTAGAGCCAAATGATCAACTGAAGCTTTATAATTATACATTTACAACTACATCCCTTTTTTTGTTTTGGGTTGAAGTACAAGCTCAATCACTAAATGAAAACATGAAGTTAAAACATTTATTTAGGTACTCTCAAGACCCAACCAAGTGATAAAACTGGCTCAGTGAATACCTCCTAATCATAAGTGATATTTGATATCAGACCAGAAATCTCAGGCATTTATCTTTCTACTGAAGGAACAAGGGCTTAATGCTTCAGAGCTTATATATTTTTCATCTTCTCCTAGGTTATTTGCAATTAGCTTGGAAGATTAAAAAATGAATACATGTCTTTCTAGTATGGAAGGTAATCAAGAACAGCTCTCTGAGCTGTGGAAGTAGCATGAAATCTAGTTCTTTAGAGGTCCATGGGGCAGAATTGTTACGTGGTATTATTATACTCATAACCCTAGTAGCCATAAATGCAAACACACTCCATAATCTCATAGGAAGGAATCAGTACATGATTCTTCATCCAAGAATGCATCTCCTGCAGCCCAGGCAGATGCTCCAGGGTCTCTTTCTGCTGAAGAAAGAACTCTCTAACCTTACACACGCCATCTTCAAGTTCTTCTGGAGGTAAGTCTGGGTTTCTTTCCACATGGAGGTTCCAGCGATCTAGTTGTACAATTGTCCCATCTTCTACCTGGCATAGGATCTTAGAAACAGGCTCATCAGTGTAGCCCTGAGGAATCAGAGAATACACCCATTGCTGTCTGGAGTAGAGAATAGGGTAGCCAGTGCTATTTTACACAAAGAAGAACCATGCAGCTATATTATTTACTTTGTAATTTGCAAGGTTGGGAGAGTGAACTTTTTTCCTAAAGGTAATTAGAACTTAAGACAATACTCAAAGGTAAGGTGCTTAGAACTAGCTCTGCCTGGTTTGAACTGAGGAGTAATTTTTGCTATCAACAAAAACCATTAGTCATCAGCAGGCACTGAGGAATTTGGGGACACACAAAATATGTGCTTGGGGGGAGAATCAAGGAGGGATCTAATTGGCAACATTCTCCTGTTAACATTTCCTCTCATTCACCTCCCCCAGACCTTGGAGCAAGCCATTCCTTTCATGACCCTGAGGCAAATCTGACTGAGGAACAGCCCTGTTGGGGAGTTACTCATTCCCAGAGGATCCTCTACTGACTGCATGACTGAACTGTCCTACTGAGAACAGTCAAGTCACTGATATGGATGGGAGAAGTCAACACCAATAATACCTTAGTTGCTTCATGTAAGTATTCATTGTTTATATACTGTTTACAAAAACAAAAACAAAAACTGCAAGGTTAATTGGACAAAGGCTGAATTATCTGCTAGACATCTGAATAAAATTTTCATGGAGCCCAGCCTAGGCAATGATCTCATAGGGATTAGATCAAAAGTTGGTTGGGCTGTACATGTGTATGTATACTTACACAATATACATGATATATTGTGACTTCTGACTACCTAAGAACTATAAAACAAATAAATAAGAAGACTGGCTAGTAACCTCAGGCAGAACTACTCCCTGCAAGTTAGCCTGAGTTGGCTTCACAGTGGACAGGGCGGCTAAATACCTGTACAGTCAAAGTCATAGTGACAACAAATGCTCAAAGTAGTCCTAACTCTCCCAAAGTAAGGGTTGTAAATCTGAGCCAGATTTGTATGCTAGCCCGGGCTGGGGGTCAAGTCTGTATGATCTTCTTGCATGAAGACATGAGGCCATCTACCCACTCTCTTTTAGTAGACACTTCAAAAAGCCCCAGGCCTTGTACTAACCACGAGATTTTTCTCATACTATGTTTTCCCCTCCTGCTGATTGTAAGTTTAAACTGAAGAAGCTCCCACATCAAATTGGGGCTTACAGCACTTTGATTCCCAACTCTAATTCCTTAGCCAGCAGCAGTACACTCCCCTCCATGAGAATATCCATGGATCAAGGAATTCTGTTTGTTGCCTGATGAGATAAGCAGCCTCTGGGAGCGGTTCTTACCCCTCCCCAGTTGAGAGTTCGAGCCAGGTCATTCCCAGTACCCAGAGGAAGGACGCCCACAGGGGGCTGAGGGCTCAGCTGCAGTTCATCCAGGATGGAAAGGATCCAGCCCACCTACAGACATATTGGGGGCCAGAAGAGATAAAGAAAGATAATTAAGTTACAAAGAAGATAACTTGAAATCAGGAGGCTTTACAGAGCTAAACAGAATGGTTTCATTTTTCTTTTAAAACAGAAATATTTTAATTCTGTGGGCAGAGAACAAAAAGGCAACTTATCTTGAGCAGTTTCAAAATGGTAAGCATCTTGGAAAAGAACCACTGTATACATGATGCGCTATCATATCAGCAAAACCAAACCTACTCATCCATGTGTTTAACTAGGGAGGTACATTAACTTTTAGGAGAGTTTAAGATTTAGGTCGTAGAACAGGGCATGGAGGGAATGTATGACTGAGAATAAGACTGCATTTCAATTCTGGCTCACACTGGCTGCATAACCTTGATTCGATTATTCAGCCTCACTGAGAGCCATTTATCTGATTTTCAAAATGAGGATAATGATCCCTAACTCACAGGATTGTTTACAAATTAAACTAAAACGTACATAAAATTCTTAACATGTTGCATGGCCCACGTAAGTATTCATTCAAGTACCCACTTCCCATTGCATCATCTTGGAAATTGGTAGTGTTTTCCTAAACACTGCAATATTCCCCTTAATGAAACTTTATGAAAACATAATTATAGATGGGCCTGGTACCCATTATAAGTTTAGGCAGAAAATAGATACTTATGTACTAGAATTATATTCCAATGTAATCTTTTTCTAAGATAAAGATACTCTGGATTTAGTCTTATGATTATTTTTTAAATTATCCAAAATTGGAAATAACATTAAGAAACTGCATATCCTTACACTGTCTAGAGTAGTGTTTCACAGGCTTAAGAGTTTTATAATTGTAGATTAACACAGATTTCTGTCCTGTAGACATGCAAATTTCAAAAAGAGAAGATCACCTTAAAAGTTGCTATTTTATTCCCGCATAGGACATTTATTAGTTTTGTCTCAAATTTAGAACAATTACTTTGGCTTGAGCTACATCATTCTTTTTCTCTACTTCTCTGATAAATCTTGCTAGTTCTCTCATTAAAGAGCTTAACAAAATTTTGACATGTATTCATTCTGTATTTGTATGAGAATCGTGTATTTTGAAAATAATACTATAATAGTACATTTATTGAGCACGATTGCTTGTAAAACCCAGAACTGCACAACAGAAATAAAGAAATGAGTGAGGCTAAGGTAAAGAAGATAGAAAGGCTGCTTTCAAGGAGTCTGCAATAACAAAAAGCTTGATGTAATGATAGCTTTCTATGTACTATCTCTGAGCAAAGGTCTTTCATGAATTATCTTATTAAACTGCAAAACTGCTCTATGTAAGACAGATTTAATTTTCACTTCCATTTTATAAATAAGGAAACAGATATATGGAAGGTTAAGTGACCTCCTCAGTGTAGTATCGTTCACGTGGTAGAGCTGCCATTTGAAATTAGGAATACCCAACACCACTGCAGTGTAGGGAGCCTTTACGTAAAGAACTAAACCTACATCTGGATATCTAAACCTACATCTGACCATCTTGGGGCAGTGGCATGTGGATTTGGAAGATCTGGAGCTGGAGAAACCTTAGAAATTGCTTAACCAAGTTCGGTAAACTTGCACATTGATTAACTGAGGCACAGTGAGATCATGTCGTTTTCTCAAGACTAAATGACTAGAAGTGGCAGAATCATGGCAATATCGATTCTCCTGACTTCCACCTAAAATCCTTTCTCCTCCACAAAGACAGTGTCGCAGGATGTAAAATGTGCCTGTCCACCAATGGAGTCTAAAATTGTGTTAACTTCTAAAATGTTCACTAAATGTAGTACCTAAAAATCCAGATCTCTAAAAGTGTCAGAAAGTCCATCCATTCCCCTAAACAGGGCAATTTACTCCTAGAGAGGTCCTTAGATTCTGACCCAGAGCTTCTTTAGTCTCTTCTTTTACACACAATACCAATAAAGCTTGCTACAGAAGTCAAAACAAAAATGCCTGATGCTAAATTAGCCCTGATGTTTGTGCCAGACACTGTTTCTGCACTGCTAAAAGCTCAAACTAAACACAGTAAAAGTAGATAGCTCTAATAAACTACAAGAAGGGGGCTTAAGGGTCATTCAAGAGGACATAAACACTCAGGAAGCCCAACCATCTGGGGTCACGGACTTGCAAACAGCCCTGAGTAGAACCAGACTTGCAGACATGCAACGGAACGTAGTGAAATTCTAACTCAACATCCCATCCAGAGAGAAGAAATAAGGCATTTTCTTTAAAATGTCTCTGAGAGATGATGTGTGTTCAGCCTCTCCTTTATGATTTGTACTCACAAGTCAGTCATTTGCTTCTAGGTAGATTTAAACTAGGCCCTTTTCTTATGCTTGCTTGCAATATGTCTCTTTTCTTGGTAAAGATAATGCTAGGAGCTTGCACTTTCAACACCCCCATTTCACTCTAGACACAACAGTGACAGAAGAAAAAAAAGAAAAAGAAGAAGTCCTCTGCGTGTGTTCATGGGCCAGGAACAAACAGAAGTGGCAAAGCTGGGATAAAGCTTCCATCACCTTGGCTCCTGGTCTTGCAACAGACAAAGGGAAGCCTGGGTTTGGCTTCTGCTTGAAAATAGGAAAATAAAAGCATGCCCCCTGCTGGCATCAAGCTGTATTGGAGCGCGGTTCCATCTCCCAGAGAGGAGAGGCAAGCAATGTGAAAAACCAGTCTGAAGTGAAGACCTCAAAGAAAGCTAAGGCCTCAAAGAAAGCTGAGGCCTGTGTGGCTGAAAGAAGCCAGAAAGCCTCTCTCTGGTAAGTGCTGACCCAAATTCCCACAAGCTCACTGACAAGTCTTCCAGCATGGGAGCCTTAGAAGATCTAGAGAGGCCATATAATTTTATAATTTTATAGAAAAACCTAGTCTGGCCGGGCTCGGTGGCTCAGCCTGTAATCCCGCACCTTTGGGAGGCTGAGGTGAGTGGATTGCCTGAACCCGCGGGTTCGAGACCCGCCTGGGCAACTTGGCAAGACCTCATCTCTGCAATAAGTCAAAAATTAGCCGGGCATGGTAGCGCGTGCCTGTAGTTCCAGCTACTTGGAAGGCTGAGGTGGAAGGATCACCAGAGCCCAGCAGGTCGAGGCTGCGGTGGCCGGGAGTGGCCACTGCACTCCAGTCTGGGCTCCAACTCAAAAAAAAAAAGAAAAACTTAGTCTGAAATTCCCGAAAACAATTCAAAACTACTAGAAAGGGGTGAAATGACACAGAAATAGAAACGTAAAAATCAAAACAACTTTATCTGAAGATAAGCCTGCAATGAAAAAAATCTGTATTACATGAGAAAAGTTGATAATAAAACAGATGGGAAGTTAAGATGCTAGTTCATTGCCCATTAAATACAAAGAATTTCCAAATGACTTTGAAACAAATTGACAGTCTATCTCCTAACACTCCCATGATCCATAGAACTGCCCCTCCTCAGACCCTCCTCCGTACTGTCCCTACTTGTTTTCTCAGAGAAGGTTCTCAGGAGTTCTACCGATGCTACGCTACGATTCCATGAGGTGGCTAAGGCCCCTGGGGACTCTGGCCCTCTTGCCATCCCCTTTTCCTGGCACTTGGTCTCCCAGAAAAGTAGAGTTGACTTGAGTAGAAACGTACTTTTCCTTTCTTACCAAATGGTTTGTTTTACAAACTGGGAAAATATAACCTCTCTTCTTTTTTCCATAGCCAATTGATCGAGTATTTCATTTGCTCCTGGTTATAGGCAGACGATCTTATATTTCATCACTGCATCACCCCTGGGTCCTTGAGTGCCTCCTGTCTTTCACAGCACAGATTTTGTGGTGTCTTGAAACTCTCTCACAGATGACCAATGTTCAGCTAATAGCTGTTTGGTGGAGGTGGGTCTGTGTTGTGTCTTCCTTCCACAGTTTCTGAATAGGCTTTCTTGGCCAACAGCTGTATCACCACCCAAGAAGCATATGCTGGGGTACAGGGAGCTGTATTGGAGCGAGATTCCATCTTCCCAGAGATTCCATCTTCCCAGGGAGAGGCAGGCAATGTGAAAAACCAGTCTGAAGTCAAGGCAGCATCATGCCGGAGTGCAGGGAGCTGCAGAGAGCCCTGCTGCACCGCACACTGGCTGAGTGAGTTTAGGCAAGTCCCTTAATCTCTCTAAATTTCCCCTCATCTGTAAAACAATAATTATAATAATACTGCTCTTTGTTATGTAATAATAAGAATATTGCTTCTTTGGAGTTATTTCATCAATTAAATAATTTGTTGACATTGCTTAGCACATGCCTGACAAAAAAGAAATACTAAATTAATATTAGCTACTATACCTCAGCTATATTTTTCTTCCTTTTCCCTTACTTCATCAATAAAGGCCCAGTTTCCATTCCCTAGAAACAAAATATCCCCTTTCTATCTTTCCATTTAAAGAAAACTTGAGCCCCAAGTTTGCAAATCAGTCCCACTTTTGACTGCCATCACATCAAGAAGCCTTTCTCCCACAGATAATAAAGAACAGTAAAAGCCAAGCTGCCCTGCAGCAGGAAAGGGCTGTAAAAAAGAGACTGGAAATGAGTATACATCTACAATAGCAGAAGATATAAAAAATCTTGAGTAATAATCTGTGTCTTTGTCCTTATAAGAATAAAACTCTGAAAATACCATTAAGGACCCAAAGCTATTACTGGGCACTCTTCCTCTGTGGTAATCAGGACCCTGATCCTCCTTGAAGTCCACACTGCACGCTGCAGGCTCATGGGCTGGGGTTTGGCCTGCGTCTGTGAGGTCTTTATCAACCAGATCTTTATCAACCAGTCACCAGCACCCTTTCCGTAAAATTATTTAATTGCAAAACACAGCACTTGGCATATTTTCCACTAGAACTGAAGAAAGTTATTCTGATTGAGCCAGATCCTCCTCCATTCTGCAGGGCTTTTTCTTCCTTCTTAGGAAAAGCAGGTCGATGGATCCAGAGCACCAGGGCCTTCGGCTATCTCTGAGCAGCCCTG